TAAAAGACATAAATCAAACACTACTCTGTATTATCAAGATTTAGATTAAAAACTCCAATTCCTTTTTTTTCATAATACTCGCAGATGATTTGGTTAATGTTTATTACTAACAATGGCGACATTTGAACTATTAGAACAAGAACAAAAAAATCCAAGAAAAGAAAAAAAAAGAAAGATTGTGTGAAGTATAAAAAAACAACTGTAACTGTATAAAGTTGAAATGCTTCAAATTTTTAAAAGAGAAAAAAGAACTGTTTTATTAAGTTACTTTAACTAAAAAATTAATGATTTAGTTGATGAATTAATAAAAAAAACGAATACAGTCGTTATACCGGGGAAAAAACAGCAGCGTCCAAAAAATACTTCACTTAAAAAAGATGTCTAAAATGTAAGTTGTTGAACGTGACCGAGAAATATAACTTTAATTGCAAAAAATATGGTTACTTTTGCAAAATACCTTACAAGTTTACACTTTTTTTCTAAAAAAATTAGAAGGTTACATAGAATTTAAATTTTATTATTGTTTAATATTTCTCAAAATGAAAAAATGTGACCGTGCTGTTTCTTCCGGTGGAGTCTTCAGTTGTTTAGTCAAATAAAATACTAAAAAATTTTTATTTTTATTTTTACTTAAAGTAATATGTTTTTAAAATTAATTTCTTCGCAACATTTAACAATCTGGTTCTTAGTTATTTTGTGGCATTAGCACTATTATTTTTCACTGAGTTTGAGGTAAGTAAGACTGCATTGGCATTACCATTTTTTAAGTGTCTTTTTAAAGTAAATGCTCACAATTAATTAGTTTCTTTTTGTAATCCCAAGGATACTTTTCTAAATATAACTTTTCAGACTTCTTTTTTACATATAAAAATTATTTTTAAGGGTTAGGATTAGCCGCTACGGTTAACCCTAGCCCTGACGTTTCTGTAGCTTTTGCTGCGATTCGCTATTTATCAACGGATCGGATATTAGTTCCCATCTAAATAATATTTAAAAAAGCGCTTGCATTATTTAAAAATATATGTGTTGATTGATTACAATCGATATAATAAGTATATAAATTACATAGAATAACGGACTTGTATAATACGGGTCATGGTAACAACAACAACTGAGTTTCCATTAACAAAAACAACTCGGTTTCCAGTAAAACAACAGGGTTCCAGTAACAAAATATGGGTTTTTAGTAGGGCTGTACCGGATTTTATTTTTTCAAATCCGGCCGGAGCCGGATTTGCCGGATTTCTACTGACAGATCCAGCCGGAATCGGAGCCGGAGCCGGATTTCGAAACAAAACTACAGGAGCCAAAATCCTGTACATCCCTACTTGGTGTTGAGAATGGTCAACAATGTGGACTATTCAGAATACCAAGTGACTGCTGTTTTCTGTTAAACTTCATTATTGTTATTTAAAAAGTTTTATAGCAATTTCTATATATAAATTAATAGAAATTCTATAAAATTCTATAGGCCATATGTTTTAAAAGTTTATAGTAATTCTATTGAACTTTTTTTCCGGGACTTTGTCACTCCGCCACTGTAGTGGATCATTGTGTCTATTTATTTCTGGTTCTTTTGGATATTTCCTTAGCTGAGTTTCAATGCCTTTAAGTAATTGTTGTTCATGTGCCCTGCCACCAGCGGACGTAGACTGAATAATTTTATCAATAAATTGCCAGAGTAATGATGATAATGTAGAAAAATTATCCCGGCTTATTTTTTTCTACATTTAAGCCCGGCTTATTTTGGTGGATTTTCTTCAAAATAAAATGTTCCATTCGTAATGTTCATGTGATTGATGATATTGATTGTTAAAGTTGTCAGAGATAATTTTTAAACAGCTTGCAGAAATATTTGTTTGTTTAGTTAATTTGTGAGTTAGGTTACAAATCTTCGATCGAATATTGTATTAGTGTTTCTTTAGTTGGATTAGGTTGTTACGATTATTGCAACATCGGGCACTCGATACGCTATAGGCATGAAACAACTGCAGAATAGAACTCAGCTATCTCAAAATCCTATAAAAAGTGATATTTGAGGCCATAGCTGTGACTTGAAGTTTGAAGCAGTTGCTATATTTAGCTGCTATCTTGAAGTAAATACACTCTTTTAACCTAAATCGTCATGCAAGCTCTAATTTCTTTCCAGAATCGAATTCTGCCACTCGTTAACATGAACTTTTTGAAAAAAGTTTATTATTTGTTACACCCCAATAAAAGGACATTTTATCTTTAAACAACTTTGCTGAAGGTATAAAAAATAATTTCTAGTAACTAAAAAAAAAGAACATCACTTTGGATGTTTCTGTTTCTTCTATCCCAATATTTCAAAACAAAACAAAAAATCCATATAAAACATAATGCAGATTATTAAAATGATCTTAACAATATAATGCAAACTATTTATAAATGGTGTGCATTATATTGTTGAATTGATTAAACTTATCATTATAATCATTATAAGAGCATAACATGATCATTTTTCTGACGTTTTTATAAA